TACACATCAGTTTGGTTTAAAATCGTTTAATAAGTGGTTTGCTATCCCGTTTTTAAAGTTTATAAAAAGCCAGCAGTACGAAAATTTTGCATTTAATAGTTAAGTTGAAAAACATTATTTAATAAGAAAACTTATTTTCGTCAAACTCTTAATTTGAGGGAGTAATATTTTAGAAATGTTGCTAGTTTATACGTTTCTGGAATACCTTTAAGATATATAAAATCTCGGAATATTACTTTGAAGAAGAAGTTGTGTTAGGCGGTAAAACTAAATCTTTTTATACATTTTATATCAATGTAACCGAATTGCTGACTAATATCCTTAACAACTCTTTTTTCTCTGTGGACCAACTCGCCATCACACACTCGGCAATAGATGTGTGTGCGTGCGTCGCAGTTTCACGTTGATTACGAGCACTTTATGGCTCCGTGCTACGTGTGGGCGTTGCTGTTGGATCTGGCCGAAGACTGCCATAGACATGATGTCTATGCGTTCATTGTTGCAATTTTTACTTTATTATCAGCGTCTGTAATCACGACAACAACAGCAGGCTCAGCAAGAGTGGCATTCGGCGAGGGGTTGATGGGAAGCAAACTTGTTTCGGCGTCTGTTATTGCGGTCAAAAACATTTCGAGTGACGGAAATTTGATAAATGCCTGGCCTGACCCAATGGGCGTGGCATTCGCCAAGGGTTTATCTAGTGTACTTGTAGGTTATTTATGATTATTTCACATATTTTTATGGCTTGCAAATGAGGAATGTGTATGCGACACAGAGGCGTAGTTAGTAGGGGATTTGGAGGATGAGCGCTTTGGGAAAAACTCGGCTAATGTAGCATATATTAACAAGGAAAAGTATATGGCGAAGGGATAACTTTCAGTCAATTTCTTATCATTTCCTTGTTATGAGAGTCATTGCTTTTGTATGTATGTCTATGCAAGCTTTTTGTTTACATATCCATAACAGCGAAAGCTTTTTGTTTACAGTTACACGGATATTACGTATACGTAAAAGTAACTACTGCATTGTGTGTAACTTAGCTAGAAGCTTTAAGGATAGAAACTTTAGAGAGCTTTCACGCGATTACATTTTTTACATGGAGATGTTACACAAAAGCTCTAAGGGGTATGCTATAAATTTTACAATTTTCCATAATATATGGTGTATATTTAATGTGCTCAAATCGAATTAAATTTGAATTTATTTTTTTAGCATACTTATTATTACAAAACGAATATAAAATGCTGATAATACGGTTACAGATAAAATTTTCATTTTCTCAGCTTGAGTTCCCTTTCAACGAAAACAAAACACACAAAACTCTAGAAAGCGCTGAAAAACAAACATTAAGAATTGAATCCTCAGTGGAAAAAAAAAACCCTTTAAATGGGAGTCGGGGACTTGGCAGCTTGTAAAAAAAAACAGCAAAAGGATTGCCCGTTGGCGTTAACCGAATGGGCGTGCCAGTGGAAATTGATTAAAAAGACAAGAACCCAAATGCTTTGTGATGCTGTCCGGTTCCATGTGGCGTGTAATCCTTCGAATGCGCTCGAGGAATCGATAATCAAAGCGATGGGATTATCAAATCTGTATGGCGGTCAACTCCATTTGTTGTCCCTCTGCCGTTTATCCCTTTTCAATGGTTACTTATTACTTATTGGTTTTTAACATCTATTTTCATGCCTTTGTTGCCTTTTTAAATCTCATTTCAGGGCACAACATGGCCTCAGCACAGATACGACATTTCTATAACACACCAACAACAATTTCTTCAACAACAACAACAACACGACAACCTTTACAACAACAACAGCAAAAACAGCAGCACACGAACAACTGCACTAACAAACGGAAGCAATTTCAAAGCGAAACGTTTCTGTGCCACACACAAACACAAAGCGAATCAGAGGCAACAGCAGCAACATTATGCCAGCCAACGCTTGCGGCAGCAGCAACATCATCAGCAAAAGGAGCAGCAGCAACAGGAGCACGAGCAACAGCTGCAACAGCAGCAGATGATGTACAAGCCAGCGAATGTCGGCAGTCCTGGACCACAGATGAGATCGCTGCCCGCAGCAGTAACACCCAGCACAGGATGCGACATCCTTTGGCCGGCAGTGCTGCAACCAGCGATGATGCTGCTGTTCCTGTCGACCAGCAGCAGCAGCAGCAGCAACAATGCCTGGCTCCTTCTGCCACTACTTTGGCCGCTTCTACAGGGACTGCGGAGCAGGATCGCCTCGCCACGAGCACTTGCCTATCACGCCTATCTTCCAAAGTCAGTCAGGACTCTACGAAACAACAACGAAAGCTCTTTCAACACGGCGCAAGCACAAGGGACTCCAATGCTGCAACTTCAACGACTCCGGCAGTCAGCATGCTCATGGATATGCAAAAGTTTGCACGCTCTATTTTTCCACTGGTTATCATCTTCAATCTGCTGCCTTTATTCTATGCAGGTATGTGGCAACACTCAATCGAATAATATTAATTAAATTCAGCTGAAGGGGTTGATTAAGCCAGATACTGTTAACAGTTAAAAAGCTCAATCGTGTTGTTTTTAACTTGTAAGGGGAATTTCATTGCAATTCCAAAAAGTGCTTAAAATCCACGCAAGAGGTTATATCATGTTGTTATAGTTACTCATTTCAATAATATTGTTTTACTTTTTAAACTTAATCTTAAAGTCAACTATAGTACATAACTATTTTTTTACCCTTATAGAGAGCATCGTAATTTCAGCTAGAAGTTTACAAATCAGCGACATTTTCGACCCTATAAAGTATATATATTTCTAATCAGCAATACTAGGATAGCCGATCTATTAACAGCCAAAACGTTGTTATGTAGCTGCCATTGTAACGATCCAATAATTTAGCGGAATATTGTTGTTTTAAAGACTACTTAATTGGAATAGCTGCAAGGGTACACACACTTCGGGTTTCCGAAGCTTACTTCTTTCCTTGCTGACAAATATCTTAGTAAGTTTTCTATTTAAAAAAATAAATATCAAATATTACTTCTTAATACCTAAATTAGAATGCCTTCAACAAAGTTTATATTACAGAACTTAATAGTTCTCCTCAAATTTTTGTGTGCAAGTTTTTCCTTTTCCATTTCCTTGCTGAACTATAGCACCTGCAACAACTCGTGCAAAACAATTTTCCATGGCACTAATTGCCAACTCTCGAGTATCTGGTTTATTCGGAGAGCTCAAAAAAACCCCCCAGAGTGCTCACTGTAGTCGCTGGGGTTGGTAAATAAATAATTGAAACTGTCGAAGAACATTTGCAAATCTGGCCAAACAACAACTGAGCTCATTATTTATGTACACAGTCAAATATGTATTGACTGCCAAAGGCAATGGAAAAAATTTAATGACCGGCAAAAGTGAGCGTCGCCGACAGGAAGGAAGCAATCCGCCACCCAGCCCCTGCCCCTTTTGGGTCCTTTGGTTTTTCGCTCTTTTTTAAACTCTTTGTGTGACAGTTTTGTTTTTTTACATTTGGGCTGCTCATTTTTCAAAACACGCACAAAGGCAAAAGTATGACTGAGTTGGGGTCAAGCGCGGTTGAGCCTAGAAGACAATGCGCTGGGCGGTCTTAATTGCTTCCCAGTGGAAAAAACAATAACAGCACTTAATGCCAGACCCTTTTTGATGCTGGGTGGCCTTTGTTGCTGCTGCAAACTTATTAATTAAACGCGCTCATAATTATTTAAGACAAGCTGCCGCCGGAGCAAATTCAATTTGTGATCATTGCCCGATAAGCAGAGCTGCAGTAATCAGGGAGAAACGCGGAGGAACCACTGCTTTGCTCAGCTCAGCTCAGCTGCCTAATGTGGCAGAAGCGAAGGCAAACAAAAGCGTCGCCATTTCAAAAGAAATCAATGACAATTCGTTAGAGGTCCCCCGGTCTTCCGTCCCCCAATTTCCACATCCCATTCTCCCTCGCGGGACACTTGCCATCATCATCATCGACATTTGAGCAGCGATTAAAGACAATTGAAGCCACAGATGCAGGCACCAGAAGTCTGCTTTCTTATCAGACCATCCATCCAATGGACGGGAGTTCGGGTTCTCTTCTGCTGCTTTTCCACTCTCTGGCTCGGAAAAGCTCGCGCCTGCGCTGCCAAAACCATCATGTTATCAATTTACCCAACTGGCGGAGGCCAGCCGCCGCTTATCAGTGGGCCAGCGAATGTTTGCTGGGTTATCCGGCCTTTGTTTGGCCCAAATAAATCGCTGACTTGGCATGCCGGACCGCCAATAATGGCCGGAGCGGGGAAAGTGAAAGTCAAGACGCCAGGGCCCCGGGCACAGGTCAAAGTATCTGCCGTTCGCACAAAAACACACTCCCATTTATCTTGGGCGACGTTTTCGTCCTGGCTTCGTCTGGGTCTAATGAGATTTTCGCCAAATTAAATGAAATCGAAAATTAGGCGCGCGCCAAGTTTGCTGGCAATTTAAATTGGAGCCCAGGCCAGGCGGCAATTATCCACACAACGATGGCAATGGGCAGGGGCATAATGAGCGGCAGCCGAAGTCAAACAAGATTCTCACCTGTCAGCTGTGGAAGCGCCGATGGCTGCCACCTGGAATCTGCCACCTGCCAGTTGTCTCAAGTGGTGGCTTTGGACGGGCGATTAAAGCGCTCGTCGGCCACTCGAACAAACAGAGTCGACGGCTCATTGAGCTGAAACGAAATGAAATCCCGGGGCAAACAACTCCAAGGAGCCACTCCAGAAAAGAACTGGGGAAAAAAAAGAAGTGCACAAAAACGAAATCATAAATTCAATTTGATTTATTTCAGTTTGTGTAGTAACCGCCTCGAGATTCAAATGGAAAAGCTTTCGCTTGATGTCATCGCAGGCTCTTCGTGCTCTCTCTCTCTCTGTCTCTCTGTCTCTCTCCCGCTTTTCCGACTTTCCTTCTGCCTTTCCGTTGTCCGCTTTTCCGCATTTCTGCCTTTCTCGCTCTCAGCCTTAAATGCCGTGACAGCAGCCGAGTGTGTTCAGTCGATTTCTGTCGGCCGTGCGGCAAACACACAGCTCGCTTTTCAGCCAACTCAAGCAGCTTTAGTATCAGCTTTCACAGCAGCCAACTCGCGTCATTAATCGCATCGTGCGACGGGCCCCACCAAACAGTTTTCCCAGCAACGCGCGCACTTTTCCCGCTCAAGGACCTCTGACTATCGCTTGTCCTTATAAATTGCTTCGGCCGCTCCGGTGCCTTTAGTTTGCATATCTCCGATTGCCCAACCCACCCGTCTCGGTGTCAAAAGCGAATCCAGTCCCGGCGATAAGTTGCTGCCTGCCAAACGGAGAGCTTAGCGGCGAATTGTACAACACAAAAGTGAATTACAAATCAATTGAGAAGGCCCCTCGGCGGCGAGACGTAAATATTCAAATGGAACTTGATTTACATATTCTTTTGAAATTGCCTTGGCTGTGGTGCACAATTGAGATATTTGGGCTTTGCAAGACAGTGGAGTGGGTTGTTCAAAATGATCAATTGGGGTGGGGTATGGGGCTTTGCAGATCGCCTGAATAATCGTTTGCTGGTATTAAAAATATTCAGCCATTAGATGGTGGTATTATTCTATACTTTGTTGCTCAATTTATTATTTTGGTTATATTTATAGTTCTTGAACCCTAAACAAGCTTGCTATTTTATTTTCGTGTACATTTTTAAGCATTTACTCAGAATAGTATAGATGTTATCGTTAGCAATGTATAAATATACCGTATTTATACTTATAGTGTGTAGTGCCATTTAAATTAATTTTCTGACATTCATAACTCGTGAATGTCAACCAAATTGCATACTCAGATTCTTGGAATCAGACAACAGCTGTAATTTCAATCAAAGCATTATCATTTCGCAGAAAAGAATATTATTGAATTGAGTGAATGTACGTAAGATGTATTCACGTTCTAGCGAACTCCCTATTCAGTGGCAGCCATACAAATGCGTTATTAGTTCACATGCACAATGGCTACATATTCGTAATCGGTAACCCTCAGTGCTCTCCTTGGGATGTCCTTAAACAGGAGAGCAATCTGGGGAACGATAGGTTACAAAACGAATTGAAGGCAGGCAATTGTTAAAGGACTTACAACATGGCCCTCGTATTGTTTGCAATGCAGCAATAAAATACCACACACATGATAAGTGTGGAAAAGGCAGAGGAAAGTGGGCAAAGTGGCAATGGAATCGTGTCCACGGCAGTTATGACAACTTGGCCAGGTGCTCACCTGTTCGCCAACTGCTTAATTGGAGTCAAAGTCTGGGCGAACTTTCCAATTTCCGTTTGACCAACGGCTGCAGCTGACAAGTGACAACTTTGATTTAGGACAGGACTAAACCCATCATGCTCATCTCTTTATTTGATATGTTTTAAGACGTCAAGTTTCAATGGATCAACTTAAACTAAGGTTAATTTGTAAAATTTCGAAATAAATACAAAATTTATATTTACCATGTTTAACCCATCAATATAGTTTTCAAATATTTTAAATTCTTTTCACGTTTTCACGCTTAAAAAAATAATGTCAAATAGATATGCAAGCCTCGTAATAGTGTTGTAAACAATTTTTATGGTTTACTCCCATATTTTTTAAAATTCTATTCACGTTTTATTATAAGTAAGCTAAAGTAATGAAACTTAAGCTTCCGAATTAAAATATAAACACAAGTTTTTAAGTCGTAGTATTAGGGGTAAGCCAAGTAAGATGGTAAATATAATAAAACACGTTATTATCATAGTCATATCGACATAGATTGTTGTTCCAGTTAAGAAAAATCGTTGTGTATTTTTTACTATGCTTGAGAAGATAGCTTATCACCAGTCAGTAGCACTTAATGGCCACCAATTTTTGCCATTCCTACGAGGTGAAGACCCCGATCCACCAAAAGGATGGATTCGGCTTGCAATTTGCATGCAGTTCGGCAATCGCTGAGAGATTGAAACGTGCCAAATGTGCAAACAGAGGGGCCGCAATCGTTTTTCCCTCTGTTTGAGTAGCCAACCTGGTGATAAGCAAACATAACCCAACGGGGCAAGGCTTGGGAAAAGTCAGCGGAGGGGCTGCGAAAACTCAACCCTTTTTTCCAGTTGAGACATTGCCACTAAATCAAGCCACTGCCGCCAGGTAATAGAGAGATAAAATTTGCTACGTGTGGAAAATGTGTAAAAAAACAGACGATCCGAGTAACTTTGCAAATAATGTCGGCAGCCACTCGAGTGTTTAGGACCCTCACGCATAAATTATTTATTCATTTGCCGTCGCCGGGTTTTTATATGCATCGTTAAAATTTTCTGTTGGGGTCTCAAAGGGAATTTCGGGTACCGAGTTTCCACCTTCGACCCATTCCGAATTGAAAATAGGGATTTTACTTTGGCTATTTTATAATGAGCTGCACTGGACTGGATTCGTTTCCAGGCTGCTAACTCGTTGCTCACATGGTTTCCTTTTGCTCCTTTGTTCGGCTTTTGCTTTTGGCAGCGATTTTACCGCCGGCTGCTCGCGAGGAAAACTAAAGTAAACGTGCTGTGGGCGATGGGCGGTGGGCGGAGGGCGTGGTCGGTTTTCATTGAAAGTTTTTATTTATTTTCTGTTTGTGTTAGCATTCAAAAAAGTATTTTTTTGTAGCATTACCGGTTGTTCTATTTCCGTTTTTGCCATTTTCCAACAAAATTTATAGTAATACCCCATGAATGCGGGCTAAAGTTGCGTATGTGCCACGTGTATCTAAATATTTTTTATTTAAGCCCCGACTCGAAACTAATTAGCGCCCTGTGCCGAGTGCTTGTTGTTTTGAAGGCTTTTTGCAGCATCCAGTGTGTCCACGTCATGTGATATGAGCTGGGAAATATTGTTAGAAAAATGCTGCAACTTTTTCATTACATCAACTTGACGGCTGCCAAGTGAAAACTTTTTAGCAACCAGCAGGAGCAGTGGGAAAAGTGAGGGAAAAAGGGAAACGGGGAAAAGGACGGGTCTTGCCAGCTGTGGATGTTGTTTCTTTAATTTGTATTTAGTAAGCGGACGATGCTAATGAGTTTGCTGATTAAAAAAGGACCGTCTTTTGATGTCCCACCTCTGGAATTTAATTTGCACAAGGTTGAGGGGCTTTAAGACTTTATTAACTGACAATAAAGGGTCATAATTTATGCAGCAGGCGATCAAACAATATTCACAGACCTTGCAGAAAGTCTCCTGTGAACGCTCAATAGCTAATAGAAACTGGCCGAGCCAATCAATTACGGTTAGTTCACAAAGTTGAAGTCATTTTCACTTTGCTGCAGCCAGTCCATCAATCTTCTAATCAATCTGGATGGAGCAAATAGCCAGCCAAAGTTTACCCTTGTATTATGAATTTATGGCGCCGTGGGGAAGTCGAGCGAAAACTATGCCGATTTCAATAAAAATCATTAAGCAAGCACTCAGACACCGATTCGATTGAGTGTCTGTGTGGGTGGGCAGAACTTTCCGACACATTAAATATGAACGAAATACCCTCGTAATTAAGCTAAACAGGGAAAGATAAACAAACCGCAAATGGTCATAAAATGCGATGAGGTGGCGCCATCCAAATGAACTTCTTTGGCCAAACACATTTCCAATCGAATTATAAATAAACAGAGGCGGTCCGAACAAAATAAACCCCAACAGGAAGCCAATTCAAATAGCCCGAGTCAGCGCTGTTTGCGAATTCCTAATTTCTAATGGCACAGGTCTTATGGCTGATTACCCAATTTGAATTTTCAATATTTCCGGGAATCTGAATTTCTGCCTGGTAAAGGCGCAAATATTTCATGTTTGGCGGTGATGGGCTGCCTACAAATTCGCATTGTTTCCTCATATAAAGGAAATATATTCACTTATCCAGAAAGACGAGGCTTTAAGGCGGGAATTTCATTAATCTTTGTCGCACGTTTCTGGGCATATTAAAACATCTCTTTTGTGATACGTGAATGTATATAAAACGAGACAGACGAGAGTCGAGCATCTTTGTGTAAGCTTTAAAAATCTCCCCCCATAAAAGCCAATGTGAAACATGCAACAAGCTGGGTCAGGAAGCGGGCCATAAGAAGGCCATCCACCAGCTACTGTGTCGAGGTTACACCCACACCCTCCCACTGGCACACACAGAAACACACACTTGCCTGCATGCGAATATAAATCCCCCATTCATGTGGGGTACAATGAGGCCCAGAGACGCTTGTCCAAAGAACTAAGACAAAGGATACACAGAAATCAAGTTTAAGTGCAGTTGAAGGCGGAAACGTGAGCCCCATACACAAGGAGAAATTCTATGATCGTATTACTTATCAAATAAAGTTTACCGATTTTAGTAACATTTCACTTAAGCCGGAATTAGATTGTTGGTTGTATATTACTTATTTCAACTTTTCTGTCAACTTGGGAAACAACAAATTGAAAAGCCTCAACTTTTAAGCTAGTCCACAATAAATTCCAAGTTGGTCTTTCTAACATGATAGAATGAGTTATTGTTTTTAAAATTTCAGACTAATAATAACAATTTTTGTTTAATTCTAAATTTAATTTTAAAGTACAATCTGTTTTTGTACAACATTAAAATCATTTCACAAATAGATACACGAAAATCATTGACGAAATTGATTTCCTGAGAACTATTTAAAATACAATTTATGCATTTAAATCAAGAAGAAAATGCATTTTTTCGATTTTTGCTATCTTGTTTTAATTATATTTAAATTTATTTGTTTTCTATCCTAGTGCTTATATTTATTGCACAAGTCGAAGTAGATTGAACATATTAAAATTGGTTCGATAACTTAAGATAGTTCTTAACTTAATCTTACTAATTTTAATTTTATTTTTATTCTCTTTATTTTAATGTGTGTTGTTGAGTAATAACACTTTTTTAAATTTCCTCCTATTGTCATTGAGGAATATAATATATATTGATTATATTTTTATCTGCATCAAGGTAGTGGCAGTTTATTGCGGCGCGCTTATAAATCAGAGCCGTTCGCTGGCCAAGTTGCCAAGTGCCGCCGAAACAAGTGCAATTATTTTAATGCACTTTTGACTTTTGACATCGCAGGACACCGCAACAACACGGCGACAGCCTTAAAGCACTGCTCGAGCATTTATGCGGCTATTGTCCCGATACACACACAACGCACGGCACACAGCACACACACGCAGAACACAAACACGAACACAATCGCAATTGCACGGCACTCGGCGGAGAGGACTCCTTGAGTCGCCGCTGCCAAGGTCGCGCCGTGCAGCTGAACTTGACAAAGGATTTGCCTGGCATTCGCCTGGCGGCTTTAATTCTGCATGCAATTTCATAAACGTTTTTCTCCTCCACGCGTGCAATTTTCCATAATTTTTTTTGTTGCGCAAAGCGGGCCTGGTAGTCAAGTTAACCCTTCAACGATTCGCTGGCGAAACAAATTGAATTTATGTGCCAGCGCACAAGAGAGCACGCAGAAATGTTGCCAACGTCACTGGCAGACGGCGATGGGCGATGCTTACGCACTCTATGGGGCCGTGCCACCCCTTTCATCTTTTTCCACCCCCCCTCACCCCTTCCCCTGGGCGGCCACGTCATGGCCCATTTGTTCTATGACCTCTCACCCTCCGCTCGAAAGGACTGCCTTTCGCCAGCATAAACAAATTTTGCAAATGTGCGCATAAAACTTACGAAATTGCAAAAATTTATTTTATTTCACAGCACACACACACACACACACACAGCGTGGCAGTGACAAGCGCCTTTCCTCGTCATTTCCTTTGTTTTGCCGCCTGATATGAGGGGCTGGTATCCTGTCATCTTGGCCTCAGTTTATCTGTCTTTGTGGCTCGTCGCCTTCTGGCGCTAATTTAATTAAGACTCATAGACAAAGAAGCCTGACGGACCAACAATATGTGTCAGTGCAATGTGTGGTAAATCTTTTCAAGTGACTCCCCGGCCCGGCTTGAATATTCAGGCATAAACGAATATAAAATATCATTTCGTCCTTTTATCGTCGGCCATAAAACACAAAAGCACGCATTTGAGTCAAGTACTCGCCCACGTTGCGTATACGACTCGTTGTCCGGGCGGTGGCTGCATTTCGTTTAATTTTACGCCAGCCGCACGGCAAACATAATTTGATTGATGCGCCCGCGGCTTACGTGTGTAAGCTAAAAATAAACTGATAAATTGACTTATTACAACATAATTCGCCTGCTGGCAAAAGAGAAGAGGAGTTTTAACTTTTTGACAACTGTTTCATTTTTTTTTTTTTACAAATTACAAATATGTGTACGTGGAAAAAAGGCAGACAGGAAGACATAATTTATGCACGGCCCAAGCCCAGGTAAAATGGGTTCGGGAAGCGAGCGAAAGGCGAGCATTTCATTAATATTAATTGAGCAATTCAAAGGGACAGCAACAAAGAGCAATTGAGTCACGAAAACGAGGCGTAATAAAGGCCAAAAAGCCAGTTAGTTCCAGGCTTACTTGGAGCTCTTTTAAACGCACTCGGAGTGCAGACAAATGGGGCCGAATAAATAAAAATAAATATTTAAATAGCCAAGCCTTTTTTTACCACAATTCGTTCAGCCACTAAGTGTGGCAGAATCAAATGGAAAAATGGCAACTGCCACAAACATTGACAGGACCTGCTCTTGATCCCAAGGAGGGCAAGTTATTTGCGTGAGCGACTCAATTAAAAGGCTGTTCCCAGCACGTGGTCCCCAGTGCTGGCTTAAAACACAGTCTCCCTCTATCCTTAAGCTCCTTGAAATTGTTGTCCCTTTGTCGCATTCGCTGTTCACTGTTCGCTGTGAATTGAATTCGTGTTGCCATTGATAACGACTGACAGCAGCTGTGGCCATTTATGCGAGAACTGGGTCTGCATTAGTTTTTATATTCAATTCCGTTTACCTTCCATTTGGCACTGCAAAAACGTATCAAAAGTTGTTGCCCGTCTGGTTCCTGTTTCGATTTCGACCAGCAATGTCAGCGTTGGCTATTCAATGGCCACAGCCATTTTCACTGGCGCAAAAAGAGAAAGGCGAGAAAGTGAACATTTATTGGATGTTTTTATACTCTTTTAACGAGGTTCGATAATTCGCTTTGATTGGGCACTTCATGAGACAAACTAAATCTAAGCTATGATTTAATGCAATCAATTTCAATATCAATTAAACCGATTAATAAGTACGATTCGAATGTGTTTTATTGGATATTTATTTATTTAATATGAAATGATAGAAAAGTATACACAATTAAATCTAACATTGGTTGTTTTAAAAGTTGTGAGTAATTATATTTTTTATCGCTCATGTTATAAATTATTTTTTGGGTGAAAACAACGTTAAACAATTTTGTTCTTTTTCGCAATTTAAATACAGTATTTACATTTTCTGCAAAGGGAATCTTTAGTTAATCGTTTACTTTACATTTCATTATATAGTTATAAATGCAATGCAACACCTCGAGAGTAAATTCTACTATTAATTAATTTTTTTTTATCAATTTCTCATGTTAAGTAAATAAGATAGGTAAATAAACATACATATTTTCCATGCTTTAAATTTAATTTCCGCTTTGTAAGAGAGTTTTAGCTTCGTCTAGTGCAAAGAAACCTCCATACAATCACTTCAATATTATTTTTATGTTTTATTTTCGTTTTTAAATGAATCGAATGGATGGCTTGTCAGGGTTTGTTTCGATGTAATTGAATTTTTCGCCTCCCTTCCGATGGCCGCACAGCAGCGATAATTAAGTATACGTGTCGTGTGCCAAGCTGCCAAGTCACGACTCATAGTGCAGTGCCCAGGCAATTATTGTCAGCTCGGCGGTGGATGAGCAGCGCAGCTCAGAAGCTATTTGATCGGATAATAGACACTTGAAATTGCATTCAGGCAGCGGAAAGTGCAAGGACCCACTCTCCAACCGGACAGCATTAATCATGTGTCAGTGGCAGACAAAGGACTCCCTTGGACAGCTCGGTTCGCCCTCGAGGGCTGTGATTTTTGGGCGAATTCCCAGTCGAGTGTCACTCTTGATGAAGTGCGTGTGTAGTGGGAGGGGGTAAGGGGTAGGATATCACACATACGCACTGGAGGCGACAAGTTTTGGGCTGTCCACAGGCTGTCGGGCATTTCATGCACAGTCGAGCGGTTGATAGGCAGTCCTCGCAATTTATGGCAGGCAATTTGTTTCTATGGGCGGTGGGCCATGGGTGATAGGTGGTGGTTAAGGCATTTGTCAGTGCCATTCGTGTGGGGGTGGGGTGGGGGGATTTATGACAAGTGATGGCCCAGTGGATCGACCGATAATCTCAACTGTGCACAGCCAGGCAATCTCAATCGCAGTCACTGGCAATATGCAAATGCCCACTTTCTCTCCCCCCCCAAAACATTCAGATAAAACCAATCGGGTAAACGCCGCCCGATTCCATTTCGAAAGTGAGCCGCTAGAGAGAAAAGAACTCCCGCATGAGTAACAGCGCCATGGTGGCCGTGGCCATCTGCTGCATCCTCGTCCTGCTGGCCGTCTTCATCGTGATCATCATAGTCGTCGGGCAGACCATCGAGGAGCCCAAATGAGACATGCTCCAGCTGGGACCTGGCAACTTCCCAGATGGATAACAGAGGCCCCCCAACTGTTAGTTTGCTGGGGCCGTCAGCAAAAATCGTTGCCACCTCATCAACATTTGCAACATCACCAACATCATCATCTCCACCCGACAGATAATTAGCAGAGGAAACAGAAGCAGAAGGAGTTGTAGGAGCAGAAGGATTAGAAGAAGCGGAGGAAATGCGTCCCATCGTCAGTATCCATTGGCTGTGATGTGAAATTTTTAGAATTTGTGAAGCAAAAATCAATCGAGAAACCAACAAAACCAACACAAAAGGAGCAACTAAATTTTGGAACATTCCGCATCCTAAGGACACACATCTTCATGTAGCATTTCTCTGTGTGTTAAGTGTTGTTAATATATGGTAATTGTATATATAGACACACAATCTATGAATACAAAAATATATAGATATCTAGACAGACTTATGTACTTATATATGGATATATATGTGTGTAACCCAACCGTCGTAAAGTTGCGTTCTTTTTTATAAAAGTGTTGTTAACAAACCGATTTTTATTGATGTTTTATTGATGTTGAATACAACGTATATACATGCATATACACACGCAAGTGGAATAAGTTTACATTAAAAGTCCAGCGAAGTCAAAATTGATGAGCGGAAATCTTAGAAAGCGCATCCTGGAAGGATAAGGGTAAGGATAAAGAGAAGGATGCGGAGCAGGACAATAGGGAATGCAACTGGAGAGCTCAATTGTTTATTATACCGTAAGATCATATCAAATCGGAATGAATGATGCCAGCAATCGCACTTGTTAATTGCACAGCGATGGAGGCGAAGCCCCGATGGGCCTCGACAGGAACTGGAGCATAGATATACCTACTTATATTTGGAGGATATGAATTATATAGCGGAGATATGCATTTTATATATCAACAAACTTTTATATAAGTTTTACGTGTACGTGTACCTAGAAGTAGCCAAAACTCGTGTATACAACAAAAATAAGCTGTTATCAACTATGTAACTTACTCAATACAAATAAAAGGAATTATAAAACTTAAAAACCAAATAAAAATTAATAAAATCATAGCCCCAACCCCTAAACTACTCCAATTAAACCAATTCAATGCAAAACGAACGTGCGCTGTGAACAATAAAAAAATAAACTTCCACTTAATTCAATTTTAATCAATGCAAATGCCAGACTCAGCGAACACAATATTCAACAAATGATCAACGCGCGGTGCATAAATTAATATAATAATTGAATATAAACATCAACAACAATGGTCCATGTCAGAGCAGAGAGAAAGGTAAGCCGAACATAAACATTTTAATGCAGTGAGGATTGACTTTTCCTGAATTTATTTCCACTTATTTAAATGCCCAAGCACCACAGCTAGACACAGTTCCTGTACCTGCTACGGTGGGCAATAAAGTTTCATTGCTGTCAATTTGATTAAAATTGATATGCCCAGTTACTTGGACCAGCTGCAGTCCAAGATCCAGAGTCGGAAATCTAATAGTTTTGAGTGGCGGAGGATCCGTTCCCAGGGGCTTCGGGACGGCAAGCTGCTGGGAAATAAATGCGAGAAAACTTCAGGAGGCTGAACAAAAAGTCAACTTGATGAATATTTCCACCTCAGTCCGCATCAAGTAATCATAAAGTGATGGAAATTCAATTTACACAGCATTAAATATGGCAAAATGGGCCAACTTGGGGGTGGCAATTTATTTGTGTTTTCATGTTTTGCGTTTGTGTGGTTTATTATTATGCAGATTAGGGCAAGTTCTACCTTTACCTTTTGGCTTCACCGACTTCACCCACTTCATCCACTCGAATCTCGTGTGTCTGAGTGTGCATAAAAAGCCGCCCCCGAGCAGCTTGTTCCACCGCCCGCCGCCCCTCCTATGCAAATTACGTTTCATTTTGAATTTCTGCTACCTTTTTTGCCAGAGAAAAACCAGCACACACACTCGCACACTTTATGGCCATTCAATGCCTTGGCCAAATTGAAGCTGACAGCAAATGTCACGTTTTATGACTGCGTTTGCATATCAACAGTTTCGTGTGTGCTGTGTATAGTGTGTGTGTGCTCAAGGTGTGTGTTGGATGTGTGTGTGTGTGAGCTGCATCCGATGGAAACACTCGAAATGCTCGAGTGCCCATCTGGTTTCTCACTTAGTCAGCATTATGCAAATGGCCCGCTCCTTCCAATTTCAATTTGTTTGTTTATGAATTGCTGCCAACACAAATTAATTGTCCAATTCCAGGGCAGATTGTGATTGTCGACTGGCATTAGTGGGCGGCATTCGGTGGGCGCGGGAGTGAATCCCAATCGGAATCTGAATCCAAGTCCAAATCCGACAGTGCGCAAAAGCAATTATGGGAAGGAAATTGCTCAATTAGAAAGTCGAAATCGAAAGCCAAACTAAAACACACAAAAACGGGGAAAACACAGGCAGCAAAGGCGGACACATCTAAACGACAAGATGTTAAGTAGGAAAACTAGACAAGGACTAATTTCATTGCAACTTAAAGTAGCCTACAAAAAATAGAAGCCCTACGTACTATTAAAAAATTTAAGAATTTAAGAATTAAATTAATTTGAATTTAAATGATATCTGCTATAACAAAATTCTACAAGACTCATGAACTAAGAAAACAATATTTCAAATCTATTTAAGAGAGTTTAGTTTAATAATAAAATTGATAATTAATTCAAAACGGTTTAAAGGATAATGAGGATAATTACCTAACTAAATCTGTTTTATGTTTAATGCACCAACATTCAATGAATACATGCCAAAACCACATCTGTAAGACTCATAAAAAATTAAAATAATATTTTAAATCTCTTCTAGACAGATAATTAATAAAAAAAATGTATAATTTATGTAAAACGACCTAAAAGGATTCTAATTTCTGTAAGAAGTTAGTTTAAGGAACTAAAACTCAATTTTTTTAAGACTTTCCCTCTTTAAAAACCTTGTCTTCTTCGATGATTGTGCATAAGTAGAACTATTGCATTACTTTCGCTTACATTTGCATGATGAACTCCTCACAATGGCAGCAAGATAGCTCCATGAATTGCAGTCAGCGATGTGTAAAGCGCAGATAGAAGATGTCCAGTGAATGTTGGCAATGTTAGAGATGACGGTCGGCACTTTCGAGGACAAAATCGAGGGCGAGAAATAAACGGCTGCCTAATGACTCGAAATTTAATGCAGTTTTGTGAAATGTTGTAAAACCAATTGGCAGGCTAGCTTTTTGGGGGAGGATGTTCGCACAAGTCATGGCCAAAAGTGGACTGCAAAATGGCGCTGAGTCAACTGTCAATTAATCAATTTAGCCAGCCCTCAAGCTGGCTAGGCCATCAATTTAATGGGGGCACGTTAACGTTAGGAACACAAAACCGTTGCCAGGATGTAACAAATGTTGGCGTTTTTAAAACCAAATTACAACCGTGGAAAATGATTCGACAACAAACAGAGAGATTTGGCCCACGCACACACAATGGGCATATTTTTCATCAGTGGCATATTCAGCTCGTAGCTCCTGTTCCTGATGTTTTCGGCATTTCTGGGCCTCCTTTGGGCCATGTCGCTACGCATTTTAATGCCGCCGGCGAGTCGGACTCAGATTTATGGCCATTTATTGAGCATAAGTGTTGGCAATTTATGAACCAGCCGCGCCCAGTTCTCCCACTCCAAAATGGCATTTTAATAAGTGACTAAGAGCGCAGAGTTTTTGCGTGTGTCTTTGTGCTAAAATGAAGATTTATAAACCGCCCCGAGCAGTTTCAACTCCCGAAAGTCGGGTTCAGCACAGCCATAAATCTCCCACAGAATCTTGGTTAGTTTATTGAATTATCAGCGGGCGGATGTGTGGGTGTGTTTGACATTGTCTGACATAAAACTAAAGGAAATATCAAACACGTGCGCCAGTCACAGGGCACTTATGTAAATACATTCCACTCGGCTCCCCGTCTCCGTTTATATTTATAGTTTTATTTGTCTAAGGTTTGCTGTGACGGCATTTAAATTTGCCCCGCTTAGACTTATCTACATCTCGCGTATTTTGCTCATTTACCACACATACACACACACATACACACACCATGTTCCCTGTCCTTTGGCACACGCATTTCCACTTAATTTTCCTGACTCATTTAAATAAATTTGTTTGGTTTCTGTGGCCTTAAGTATGCGAAACATGTTTTGCGTAAAATCTGAGAAAAATAATTTTCTCAAGCATACTTTTTGGGGCCCAACAACATTGACTTGCAATTATGGAAAATACTATAAAATGTATTTATTTATTTTAAAGAACTCCCAAAAATGAACTAGAAAACTGTTTCCCAAAAATAATAAGGAACATCGCCGCAAAAACCTCAAGACCACACTGTAAAAGAGAAGCCAATGAAGTGCTGAATTCGCAATGCCAAACCGACACGAAACTTTGCACACACAACGTGGGAGACAACAAATTAAAACTTTAAGCTTCGAAGCGCCGCAAAAGAATAATTTCAATGCCTAAAATCTTAACATTGACAGCAGATGCTGCAGAAAAGGGCCACTAGATCAGGGTTACGGCACAGTGCAGGCCACTTCAGTGGCAGCCAACTCAAGCCCAATGCCCCGCAGCGATGTGCACTTGGCATCAATCAATAATTGCCCATTGAAGGCAGCTGCTGGAAGACTAGTTGGTTGGCTGCTCCGACTGATGCCACGCCATGATTGATTAGCGGCATGCAACACGAGGTGCTTCAGCTGAAACCCGACTAGACAGCATAATATGGCGCTTATTGAATTGAGTCCCCGGGCCGCCCTTCTCCCTTTCGTTTATTTTCCGTGCCATGGCCACGGGACGGTCTGCTGGTGATATTGCATTGTATCTTTGGAATCGCCAGTGCAGGCAGGACCCTCAAGGATGCTCGAGTGGCAGTCGGTGGTCTTATCCGTCCCCTCAATCTCTTTGACTGCTGTTTGCATTTCCATTATGTCAATTTTCTCCTTCTACTCGGGTCATTTAATTGCCACCCCTTATTAAGTCCTGAACGGAGAAGTGATGCATCCAGCTGCCTTACACTTGAAGAATTTATTGTGGGTTCACAGAAATATCTTAGAAGTTTATCATTGCGAAAACAAAACTTCGTAAAGTTTTAAAAGAAGTTGTTCTGAATCTCGAAAGAAATTAGCCGAAACGCAGCCACCCAAAAGCTTAATAAAACCTGAGGCATTGAACATTTTTAAAACCAGAAATATCATTTTTTAATCAATAAATTAAGATAGTATCGCTTGTATAGACATTTATATTAACTGAAGTATCGCACATTTTATTATTTCTTTTATGATTAAATCATTATTCTGAATTCAGGTATTCATTTATTTTAAGGTTTAATCAATTAATATATCTTTAATTTGTTTTCCGTGCAGCTCCTCTGATTTCAGAAAAACATTTAATTCATATTGATTCCTTGCTTTCTCTTTCGTTGCAGGTACGTTCGCAAGAGTTAATCAAAAGCGTGAGTAGCTGCCACAGGAAATTTTATTATTTGCCACTTATCGATATAAAAGTTCTTGGTTCGACGTAGTCAAAAGTTCAAAGTTGAAGCGAGCCTCAATTGCAGTTATCGAGTTCAGGGGTCTCGAAAAAGTGCATAAAGAAATTCATAAGAGTATAGGCTAAATCTCGAGTGCAAGCCAAAAGATATTTCAAATGCAATATGGAGTTGTTCAAAAGTTCTGAATAACTTTGCCCACGAGTGTCTTACTTAGCTTTCTGTGTGACCCCCGGGGCGTATGCGTGATATTAATTATGAATTTAACCCACTCGCCATAGCCATTAATGAGCTTCAAGATAATCACATGAATTTAATAACCCTGCTAATTGGCAATAAATTAGACTCAATTTACCTAATAGCTACACAGATATGCAGTAAAGAGCTATGCAACATAATATGCATAATTATGCCAGCCACCTGGGTAAAACAACCATAGCCAAAACCAGGACCAAAACCAAAACCAGTACCGAGACTTAAACGGCAGCTGTTTCTAAGATGCCTATCCGTAGTCATAGAATCTCATCATCGTTCTGGCCTTCGTTCGTCTCTCACCTGCCTTCGTCTTAATCAACGCGTTTTATCGCCATGATTTTATTTTTCGGCCTGGAATAAACTATTAGGAAAACTCATTTTCATGAAAATCCACTTTAATTGCTGTTGCCGTTGTCGGTGCTGTTGCCACCGTTGTTGGTATTGCCCCATCTGGTGATGTGGTTATGGCAGCAAGACAGCCAGATACGATCCAC